AAAAAAAAAAAAAATCCTGAAAAGAGGCTCCTGTCAGAATATAAAAGGGAGCAGATCAGAGAAGGAATAGGATCTGGAGAATAAACCCAATTAGTGGAAGAAAATAATTTCATTAAAAATGGAGGACAGAAGGTGAAATCCTTTGGATGTCTTAGAGAGACACACTTCCATTTGTCCACAGGTCTCTCATCTTTTAAGAGTTGCTACCATTTCAAAGATCCCGGTTCCTCTGATATAATGAATTGAAGCAAGTTATATCACTCCTCACTCTCCTGGGAATGGGGTCCTTGTCCCCTCTTCTATACTCAGCATTCTTTCTCTTGATCCAGTAAAGATACCCAGCTTAAAAAACAGTGAGTCCTGCTTATAAGGGAAAAAAGTAGAAATTTGCCATGAAGTGGCTGTCTCATAATTGAATTCCCAGTAATTCATTACAACATGTTTATTTGAGTGTTTGCACTGTGCCAGGCACTGTTGTAGACACGGGATACCCTGGAGAACGACATATGCAAAGTAATGGCCTCTAAGAGAATGCATTCAGGTGCTCTTCAGCAAAGAATCAGAAGTGGCTTCTTCAACTCAGACTTCATCCTCTTTACTTCTTGTCCTGCAAGTCTGCACATCCTATCATGGCGGTCAGCGTCTTTCTCACTGAAATTGTCAGTCAGGGTCCCGGAATGGACTTCCCTGAGCCCTGAGGACCAGGTGCGGAACTCACCTTTCAGAGGTTGGCATTACAGGTAAATAAATGTTCATGGTAGAGACAATTTCAGATTGACCTCTTTAAGAAGAGCATACCAATTTGTATCGTCTACTGCTTTACCCCTCATTTTCTTTTATTATTATTATTTTTAAATATATTTTTATTCCAGAGAGAAAGGAAGAGGGAAAGATAGATAGAAACATCAATGATGAGAGAGAATCATTGATTGGCTGCCTCCTGAACGCCTCCCACTGGAGATTGAGCCAGCAACCCAGGCATATACCCTTGACCGGAATCAAACCTAGGACCCTTCAGTCCGCAGACCAATGCTCTATCCACTGAGCAAAACTGGCTATGGCTCATAAAAATTATAGCTGTTATTAAGTGTGCTGCTTGTCAGATATTAACTGTATATTTAATTATTTTGTTCTCAAATGCTCTATTTCCATCTTCATGTATTATAGGGAAACATTTGTACAGCGGGTCCTTGAATAATATTTTGTTCAGGGTCCTTTATAACATTGAACTTAACTCTTGTTTATTTATATGAACCTGTGGTAAATAAAATCTGTTTCAGTAGATATTGTTTGGCTTAAAGTCACAACCTATCGATGACGTCAAGTGAGAACTTATTGTCTACAAGTCATCATTCTTTTCTCCTTAGTACCTGTAGCCAGATACTCCATACAGTTGTATGTGGCCAAAGCTGAGAGCACTGAGATCAGGGTTTAGGGTTTTACTGGGGTCACTCTGCCTTGTATGGCTCAGTGATGGAAAACTAGAGTTGGGGGTGGTTGTATTAGTGGGCTAAGGCTGTCATAACAAAGTACTACAGACTGGGTCACTTAAAAGAAATTTATCCCTCACAGCTCTGAAGGCTGGAAGTTCAAGATCAAAGGTGTCATCAAGGTTGGTTTCTTCTGAGGCCTCTCTCGTTGGCTTGTAGATGGCCGTCTTCTTTCTGTGTCTTCACATGATTGTCCCTTAATGTGTGTCTGTGTCCTGATCTCTTATGAGGACACCAGATTGGATCAGGTCCCATCCTAACGACCTCATTTTAACTAAGTGACCTCTTTAAAGACCCTGTCTCCTACCAAAAAAAAAAAAAAAGACCCTGTCTCCTAACAAAGTCACATTTTAAAAAAAAAAAAAAAAAAAAAAAAAAAAAGACCCTGTCTCCAAACACAGTCACATTCTAAGGTACTGGAAGTTATGACTTGCACATATGGATTTTGGGGAACACAATTCAGCCCATATTTGTCCGTGGTATTTGTCAATAAATGCCATTCAAGTTTGGAAATTTATATCGGGCTAACTACTGGAGTTCACACGTCATCAGTAAACAGTGGTGTCTTTTCCAGGTCTGACTACAGGGGGATATGGTCAATATCTGGGGAGGCCCATGTGTATCTGTGGTTGAGAGGCTGAAGCTATGGAGGCCCAGGACCCCTGTGCTGCTGGGACAGACCCGATGAATGTTACTTTCCCTTCAGTCTTTCAAGTAAGTCTAAGT